GATTTTTTCAAAAAATCGGAACTGAGCATTAAGACCTGCAGTGTGAACGTAGCCAAAGGGCATGCTGACAAATTATCTGGTCCTTAGAGAGTCCTGATAATTTTTTTTAAATTTGCCAAACAAGGCAACAGATTATCAACAACACATGACAACACTGTGTCAGTTCTTTTTCTCAACAAATTGACCAAGTTTAGAATTGGTTTCTGAAAAACAAAGTCTACACCATAATTCAATAATTTGTTGTCACTATTAGCAGCAGCAATGTGAAATAATCCTGTTACATGTTTTTCATACGATTGTAAAATAATTTTTGCTACTTTGTTTCACAAAATAATTTCAGTTCGTTGAGCATGCTGACATTTTTTTATTCCCTTTTCTAAAGTCCCATCACAGAATTTGAGCCAAGAAGGCTGTTATGTACAGGTTTGCATCAATGCCAATGCCAGTAAAAGGTACTGGTCCAAAACTGTGAGTGTACTTGTTTTCATAAGTCTTTCAATATCACAGTACTGTCTCATTCCACTGCCAATTTATTTCCCTTAATTTGAGAAAAATCTGACTCAAATTAAGTGAAATAAACTGACTGTGGAATAAGACAATTTCACTTGGTAAGACTTCTTGAAAAAAGGAAATTTCCAGGCTAACAAGATTAACAATCTAACAAATTCTGCTCTTATTTTGTGTTTTTTTATAGCTCTGCAACCATGTTATCTTTGGAGATGCTCATTTTACTATTATTGAACAGTCACCAAGTGGACAAGTTCAACAGTAACTGTACTTTCATCTTCCCGATGAGTGAATTTGAACCCAAGTTTTGAAATAAGTTTTGGTATCCATGTCTGTAGATGATAAAGTAAGTTATCTGGAAACAGACCTTTGCGGAAAGAAACAAAACTTGACCTGTGAAAAAAAATCTTTCGGAATTTGTTTAAAAGTTATGTGCTTGTATCTTGTCAACTACTCTCTAGAGACAGAAACAGACAATGTTTCCAACAGATCTGTCATAATCCCACACATTGCTCTGATATAGACAGAAGAGAGTAAAGGCAGTATGCTTCTAATAAGAGTTACTTCCAGAAATAAAGATAAGAGCACATCTCCCACACAAATATGTAAGGGTCAGAAAGAGGAAAAAATGCAGTGCATAGAATATTACATTAGATGTTAAAATGTGAAAAAGTGCAATTTAAAAAGTAAATACAACTGCTGCTTCTCTGTGGAAAGTTGAATTGGTACAAAGCCACTTCAGAAGCAGGGAAGGGTCATTTGATGAAAGGCATTCAGACATGTACTATGATATACAGTATATAAACCATTGGTAGTAGCTGAAGCTCTATTTGAGACACGTGAAGGAGAACAAGTTCGTAAATTTTCTCCACCGTTGAATTTATAACATCTGTTGCAGCCCAGATGTGGCCATATAAAGTTGGTCAGCCCCTGACAGAACCGCTTTAAGTACTGATTTATCAGACTGACATTGGTGTTATCATGAGTATCATCACACCAGTTTCCTGCTGGATGACCCTGCCCCCATAGTTAGATAAAAGCCTCACATTGTTTTCCAATTGCAGGAGATTTTTTTCACCCTGCTTATCTCTGCACTGACCTTCCTCAAAGGCTTTCCTCCAGGACAGATGACCTGAGATAATGTAAGGGCAGAGTAATTGGATCAAAATAACAGCAAACAGAGCCTGCGTGAGAGACAGGTTAAGCTGCCTCTTTTCCTTGAAATGACATTGGTTTAGCATTTCTTGACCTAACCAGCAGAAGCTGCTCCAGTGATCGAACACTTTACCAATGACAGGTTTTGCTCATCGGTGTTTTTGGTTGAGCGGTGAATGATTTCCACAAGACGAGTGGAGGAAGGAGCTCGGCCGTCTTCGTGCAAGAGTTTGGGTCAGAGAGTCGCATGCGGCACAGCAAGGTCACAGTTCAGCTGAACTCAATTTGGCACAGCAAATTGACAAGCAAGCAAATCTGGACTAAATTGAGTGAGAGGACAGACAGATTGATTTAAGGCCAAGCATTCTCTTAAAGCAGAAATCAGAAGGACATTCAGAGGTCCTTGAGCTACGCTACACAATATCCTCTAAGTGTTAGAGGGGAGAAAAGAAACACCTTTACTAACTGTATTATAATGTTGAAAACCATTAGTCAATGACAGGGTACTTTTATGATGCTGTCATTTTATCAATACACTCATTCATCTTCATGTAGTCTTGTATTACAATATTCATCACAGCAATTTACCTAGAGGACAATAAGTAAAACTCAACATTCAGCAAAGGCTTCATCTACATTATCCTCCATATAGATGTTAAATTCACTCATGGTTATCATTTTTGACTTCCAGGGCAGTAAAAAAGTCTACACTGAGACAAGTCTACATTATGCATTGTAATTTGATTAGTCAAACCCCAGTGTGTGTTAAGCAGCTTGAGTCAAGACAGAGACCAGTCCTCCCTCTCCCGCGGCCCAAACCAAATCAGGTCAGGATGCTTAATTGTAGACCAATCAACCTTTACTAATGTAATGTCACTTTTATTTAACATGAATAAATGAGAAACCTCTTTGCTTCAAGAGTGTGCTGAGTGAAAGCCAGTGTTAGGGCCAGCTTGGGCATGATGAGAATGGACCGTTTGATCTGCTGAATATTAATGTTCCTCCAAGATTATAGGGATTATTAGTTCTTTTCTCACTGACAATAGAGTTATTTTCAGAAGCCATCGATTAAATTGCTCAGGGAATTGCCTTTGATATGAGTACGCCCACATGAGAAGCCGCTTTTGGATTCTGAGTAGTGCTAATTCCATGCCACTCCTCAATTAATTTGTTATTAAAATTGAAAAATGCATGAGAGGCTCAAATGAACAGGCATTTTTCAGGCTCTCTTTTGACTAACAGGCTACTCACCAAATACAGTCATGGTTAAAGCTAAGTGCATCCTATTTTTAATAGAGAAATTCCATTTTATATAGGAATGCAATGTGAATGGTGAGAGCTGAATGACTTCTTCAATTTGGTGAAGAGCTAAAACTGAATTTCTAATTTTAAAACAATAGAACTGAACATGGAAGGCAGAAGATGATGCACATTTGTTTATGAAATCCATCCATTCATTTCTTTTATCCACTTTTTATTTTGGCGCTCCTATCCAGCTGTCACTGTGTGAGATTGGGAGTACATTCTGGACAAATCACAACTCCATCATAGAGCCATACAAGGTGTTTTTGCATTGTAAGGTTCAGCTTGGCCCACCTACACTCCAGTCGGCCTGGCCTTACCAGCCCTGGTTGCATTTGCATTGAGCAGAGAGCCGCCTCAATGTGGGCGTGATCATAATAATAAACACACAGAATGTTATTTCATTTTATTTGCTACAAATCAATAATGGACTCCACCAAACTTGACGGAAAAGTACCGAATATTGAACCGGACCATCTAGGAGTGTGACACTTAAGACAAGAGGGCAGGACAACAGAGAACTGTAAGCTAATGGTAGCTAGCTTGTAGTTACTGTTTGGTAGCTCGCTACTGTTGCTGTAAAGTCGAACTCATTTGAAAAAAATGTTCCAGTCGCTGCAACTGATTGACGTAAAGTTCCTCTCATCTGTGTAACGTATTTCCCTCAGTCAGAACCAATCAATAAACAACAGTCAATGTCAAATCCCAAATAGAGCAGATGGGTCTTGGGGTTCCAGACATCGAGGTGGAACTGGGTTATAGGAACTCCGGTTTGAAGCCAGCCCGGGCCTTGCTGTGTAAAAAAGCCTAAAGAGACAAATACTGTAACCATTCACACTCTCACTATAGGAACAATATAATATACTCATTAAACTAATGTATGTTTTTGGTCTGTGGGGGGAAACAGAAATACCCAGAGAAAGTCCACTTATGCACAGGGAGAAAATTAAAACTCAACACATTGGAAGGTAATCTTGTGGTCTTCTTGCTGAGAGGCAGCAGATACTAAACCTCCATTCAGCCTCCTTCATGAAATGCTTTTTATTACTGTTTAAAAACAATTTGAGCATTATTTCATGACAATGGAAATCTTAAACTGAATCTGAAGTTTCCTTGCTTAGGCATTAATCCTATTTTGCCATTTAGGGCTTATGTTTTAAAAAATATAAATTTCAAATAATAACAAACATCTGGCATTTAGCAAATTATTTCCAATCAAATAAAATATTTTATTCATTT